GCTGGGGCGGGGGGGTGGAGCAAGTGATTAGAGGGAGATGGGGGTCCCCTGCCCAGGCATGATTCCTGGGCCAGAGGCCTCAGGCCTGGGCGGGGGTCAGAGCCAGTGATCAGGGGGAGATGGGGGTCCCCTGTCCAAGCCTGACACCTCTGGCGGAGGCGTCAGGCCTGGGCAAGGGGCTGATCAGGCTATCGGAGGATGATGGGGGTCTACGCCTCTGGCCGAGGCATCGGGCCTGGGCTGGGGGCAGAACCTGCGATTACTGGATGATGGGGGTCAATGCCTGAGGGCTCCCAGTATGTGAGAGGGGGCAGGCTGGGCTGAGGGACACTCCCCCCCCTCCCCCCACCCAGTGCACGAATTTCGTGCATTGGGCCCCTAGTATGTATATAAGATCTTGGTTAATCTCTTCCTGCCCTTCCCACTCCCCGCTTCCCACTGAGATTCATCCCTCTGTTCCATGTTTCCCTGCCTATTGTTTTTGCTCCTGCAGTGAGCTCTGCTCCCTGGTTGTCAGTATGGGTCAGGTCAGCCGGTTGCTTAGGCTTTTATATATATAGATTTGCTACAGGAAGGGAGCTCCATGGAAGATGACCAAATAGGAAATAAGTCTGTTACATAGAGCCCTGTACATTTGAGGTTATGTGACCATCAGAATAGACCAGAACAAACTAATTTGTGGAATATCTTACAGCTTGCACAATTTCTCCTTATGCATTCTTATCTCAGTAGATCTTAAAACACTGTAAAACAGTGATCTCATAGAGAAAGTATTCATATGTGGGGAGGGTGGAGGGAGTAATAATAGTAATGTCTTTATTTTTCAAATCAAGGATACGGGGTACAAAGGTTAAGTAGCCAGTTAATACGTATGTGATGAGAGTTTAAAGCTAGAGAGTTTAGGGACTGTAACACTGACATTTCCAGACAGCTGTTGCCAGAATTTCAGGAGTGTCTTAATTCAAAACATCTGTTGCATGCATAGCAATTGGCACTGTGAAAGCTATGAAGGGAATAGAGACAATATTTCTTTTTATTGACACTATTACAGATGTCCTCCATTCTGCTTTGCCCACCTCTACTCAGCCCTCCCCAGCCCCTGGCCTTCATCACACTGTTGTCTGTGTCCATGGGCTCTGCATACACATTCTGTGACTAATCTCTTCACCTTATTTTATCCATTCCAATACCCCCTCCCCTCAGAGATCTGTCAGTCTGTTCTGTATATCCTTATCTCTGGATCTATTTTGTTTGCCAGTTTATTTTGTTCCTTAGCTGCCACATGGAAGGGAGATCCTATGGTATTTGTCTTTCTCTGACTGGCTCATTTCACTTAGCAAAATAAGCTCCAGGTCTGTCCATGCCGTCGCAAAGGGTAAGAGGTCTTTCCTTTTTACAGCCATATAGTATTCCATTGTATATATGTACAACAGCTTTTCCAAAGGATGATGTAATCCGGTAGAAATAAAAGAGAGTTATAGTAAACAACTGTAGGATAAGAGGAAGCAAAGTAATACTTGTTAACATGAATACCAGTTGCCTGGCTTATTAGGTGCTTTATATATGCTAGCTTTCTCAGGGAAGATGATGATAATCCCATTTAATAGATGAGACCATGGGCCCAGAAAGGTAAAAAATATTCCTACAGTCAGATAGTAGGAAATGGTAGGTCCAAGGTCTAAACCCAGGTTTCTCAGTTTTTGGCCTACAGAATGAAAGTTTTGGATAAAAGGATGGAATAAGTTTCCATATGTGTAAGCCTGTATTTTTGAATCATGGTATCATAGGGATTATGAATTCAACAAATGCAGAAAGGTCTCCTGTGCCCTTAAATGTGAATTCTAAACCTTAGTTTGCCATAGTTCTTTGAATCCATCTAAATGGACTGATTTATATCTTTAGGTAAAACACAGAATTGAAATTAAGTCCA